ATTGAAGGCGCCCCTAAGAGAGTGCTCCCCAAAGCAGTGCCCCCAAACCCTAATGTAGACTATAGGTCAGTCCAAGGGCGAAAGGCTCACAGGACAATCAGAGGCCCAAGTGCCATTAGGGAGTTCTATACAGTCCACCCTAGGTACCCAAAGTTTTGAACCTGGTAGAGAGGGAAACAGGCACAGGGAGGCTGTAATACCATATGTAGGTCAGGAGTGGCAGGCTGGGCACTGAGGTATCCCCATGCTGAAGCAGGCTCTCAGTCTCCTCTCCGGGTCTCCCTGGAGGGGGCGGGGCAGGGGCTGAGCTGGATGTGGAGCCAGGAGCAGGAAGAGCAGAGCTCCACGGTGAGAGTGAGACACTGACCCAGGAGAAGGGTCCTGAAGAGTCAAGGCCAAGTGCTGGATGCAGAGAAGGGAGGGGCAATCTGACTGGAGCAGACACGGAGGCACAACAGGGAGCCCAGCAAGCAGGGACACAGCTGCTCTCTGCTGTACTCAACCACCCACCTCCAGGAGGCCCAGGCTCAGAGCTAGGGAAGGCCCGGTGCTTCCTTCCTCCACCAAGGGGTGAAGGCTAAATGCATTCACCATCACATTACTGCCATGAGAAGGGCCCCCAACTTCCCTGGCAGATGGGTGAAGGTCTTTACCCTAAAGTATCTGCAGGCCACCTCATTGCTAACATAGCTAGCAATGAGATGAGGGCAAAACTTCACTTTCTACCCCCAGGAACAGCCATACTCAGATCCCAATGCTGGTGTCACCCACCCAGCAGCTTTGAGAATGCCAGCAGGTTGTGGAGCCTCTGCTCATCTTCCTGCAGCCGCAGTGACACCTGGCTTGTGGCACGGATGGAAAAAGAGAAGGTTTCCACGGTGCCTGGCTCACAGTCAGCATTCCATACACGTGACTTTCCTCCCGCCTCCCCAGGACCGATTCAGATGTTTCCTGGCTCCCATGGGGGGCGGGTTGAGGAGTAAGAGTGGGGACAGAGAAGGCAGTCCTCAGAGAGGAGGAACTGTCCCCACACGCACCTGTCCCCATACCCCAGCCCACCAAGTGCCTTGCAGATGGCCACACTCACTGCACCCTGCATAGGTCCTCTGTGTGCCCAGGGCCTGAAGCCTCTCACTGACCTGTGGCTTCTGGCCTCCTGAGACCTGGGTCTTGCTCTCCGTCTGGCCTCTTTGTTCTGATGATGGCTCCCAGGGAGGGGAAATGAATAGCACCTGAGTCCGAGGCGAAGGAGGGTCCAAGCCAGGCCCTGTATCAGCACCCGAGGGCTGCGCCCATGCAGCCTGTGCTCCCATAGTGGGTCCTGAAGCTGCCTCTGGACAAGTGATGCATGGCCAGCCCTGGCAGAACGGGGTACATCTGCCACGTCCCAGGGCTGGGACATGATGGTAAGTTCATCTCTGCCTCACCCCAGACCTCCTGGATAAGAGAAGCTGAGGCAGAGAGACTGGGGCCTCAGGATACATAGGCCTCAGAAAGACTTATCACTGCCAGTGTGACCTTGCCCTTAAGCTAACAAAGGCTCAGAGAGGGAAAGCCAGTTGTTTGGGGCCACACAGAGTCCATGGATACAGATGTGGAGCTGGGTTAGGGCCAGCAGGAAACTGTTAACAAGGGCCTGAATTTGCATCAGGACCCAGCGCGGGCTTGTTAGATACACAATTTGACTGCCATAAGCTACTGCCCAAGATGCCCTGCCCCACAGTCCTCAGCAAACAGTAGGCACTGAGTAGGTCACAGTGTCATCCAAGACCCCAGAGGGAATCTGACCTGCCCTCTGATCTCCCTGGAAGATGTCAGAGATAGCAGGGTCCTCTAAGAGCAAGGACTGGGGCCCAGGGTCCCCAGGAGGCCTGAGTGGGGTTTCTCAGACTTGCAGCTCATCTGTCTTGCACATCTAGGGAGGGCTGGCCTTATCCCTTACCACTCGCTCTGGGCTGGTTCCTGCTTGGCTCCTGCTTGGTTCCTGCAGTCACTTCCTGGTTCCCAGGTATAAATACTGGCCAGAAGCTTCTGGACAGGAGCTTTTGAACATGAATGGTCATCCTGAGGTTATCTGCATCCCCCCACCTCCTAGGGATAGCCAGCTCTGGGTACTCAGTGAGGGATTTGGACAGAAGGCTGAGAGGGCCAGGTGTCCTGACCCGGTGTCATCAAGGCAACAGGAACTGGCCCAGTTGCTGGCTGTGGCTGGTTTCTTGCATTCCAAGTCCTTAAATGCTTGGAAAACTCCACTATGGGATTTTAGTCCTGGGCGTGGGGGTGGCTTTCTGCTCATTGCAATGCTGTAGGATGCTGTGGTGGGTGAGCTGTAGGTTTAGCCAACAGGCAGCAAGCTGAATTCCCACTTTCCAAAGCAGGCCTTCAAGGATTTCTCAGGCAGCCCTCAACCCACCTGTGAACTTGGGCCACCCACAGGCTGAGAAGCAGGGACTCCCTCCCACAGGAATTTGCTGGGATGGTGCCTCTGGGTGTCCCTAAAGGTCAGGAAGTGATTGCAAATCACCCACCCTCCCCAGATACTCAGCTGCCACCTGTGGGTGGGTGGGTGGGGGAAGCAGCAGCAGTAACAGTCCTTGTGACAGGTCGGAAGGCTGAGGAGGCAGGAAAGGAGCACCTTCCCCAGTGCCCAGTGGCAGGAGAAGGCAGGGTTTCCCCTGGGAAAATCAAACAGGTTCCGCACGGCACACGGACACATCAAGTCCCGGGGACCCGAGCTGCAGGCTCCAAGCCTTCAGGAATTCCAGGCTGAGTTCATCGGCTGTCAGACTACCAGAGCCTTGGGAATGAATTCATGTTGCCTCCTCTCTCCCGGCGGTAGAAGGAGTGATCTCTCCAGCCCTGAAGGAGTTCAAGCCGAGGTCAGAGCTGCCCTCTGAAGGATGTTCTAAAATAGGGGTCTGTGCTGGCGGGAGTACTCCAGCCTTCCACTCCCCCACTCCCTCCGTTGGCTCCGGGCGCACTCAGATCACCGCCCACGAGGCCCCCGCAGCCCGCGAGTCTGCGTGGCACGTCGGCGCTCCCATGCGGACCTCGTCAATCAGGCAGCAGCCAGGACTTCTTCCGCCCGCCCGGCCCCTAGGGAGACCCCCGCCCGTGCTGCCTCCCGGTGCCCACCCCTAGCGGTGTCATTGTTCTCTGACGTCACGCAGCGGCCCCGCCCCTCGCCCCCCACCTTTCCTCCCCACCTCCGGCTCCCGGCGCCTGCGACCCTGCAGCCTCAGACGCCCCGGCGGTGCAGGGCTCCCCCCGCGGCCTGGCCCAGGCTGCGCCCCCTTGCGCTCTCCCCAACTTGCCTTTGTTATTCCAGCTCCCTTCCTCGCCTCGCCTCCGACACCGCGGCAGCCTGCAAAACGCGGAGCGCGGAACCACTGCCACACCTGGATTTCGAAGCGGGCTCCGGGCCCAAATTCCCCCTCCTGTCTTCCCCCGAGGGGAACGCGTGCGTGTGCGCGTGTATGTGTGTCCAACCCGGGGACTGATGATGCTGCGGAATGGGGGTGTCTCTAACAAGGGGGGGGGGTGCCCCGTGGAAGCGGTGTGGAAGAGAAAGTGTATGAGGGGCGCGTGTTTGTGTGTGTACGTGAACGTGAGATTTCGTGCACAGGAAGTGTTTAGGTTTTTGAGTGTACGTGGGGTTGTGTGCAGCGATGTTTGCAAGTGTGTGCGCAGCTACGTGTCTGAGTGTGCTCACTGTGACTGAGCGCGGGCGTATTTGTGAGGGGAACTGTGTGTTCGAGGAGTAGCATGTTTGCAGAGCTGAGGGTGGGCGCAAATGTGGGTGCCGTTTGTGTAGGAGTTTCTGTGCGTGTGGCAGTGGAGTGCAAGCTCTAAGACGCTTTCGGGGGCGGGCTGCGAGGGGAACCCCGGGAGTGGGCGCGCCCAGCTGCTCCTCGTGAGAGCCTCGGCTCCCTGCCACCCACCCCTTCGGCCGTGCCCAGGCGTCGGTGGAGGTCGGGGCCGGATCTGCCGCCCCCGCCTCGCCGGCGCGCACGACGCCTCAGGCGCTGCCCGCTAGGCCTCGGGGAAGCCAAGCGTCCGGGACGGAGCCAGGTGCCTGGACTCTCCGGGCGCGCCGCACCCCGCTCCTCCTAGCCGTCGGGGGAGCGCGCACCAGCCTCCCTCGTCTCCGCTCTTGGTAGTGATCCTCTTCCCAGTCCCCAGCCCCCGGACGTTAGGAACTACCCCAAAGTCTCCTCCAGGGAAGGGTGGGAGATCTGGTTAGCAACTCGCTTGCGCCAGTTCGGGTACCTGACAGCGCCCGCAGCCCGGGGTGCACTACAGGAGTGGGGCGTGCTAGTGCGCGCGCAGGGGTGGGGGTGCGCCCGGCGAGTCGGTGACTTTGGTGTCCTCCCCAAAGCGATCCCTTTCTGGGCTCAAAATTTCTCCCTTTTCCAAACTTAGAGGGCGGGGGGGGGGGGCGTGCGCGAGCAGAAGAGGGAAGGGAGAGAACCAGGCGGCGAGTGGACCAGCGGCGTGGGAGGGGGGTGTGACGCGGAGCCGTCAGTGCCAAGAGAGGAAAAGCTTGGAGAGCGCTGGCCCAAGGGAGTAAGGAAGAAAGCGAGGAAAAGGGAGACCAGGAGAGGTGAAAAGGAAGGGAAAGAAGGAGCTGGCGAGAGCGCAGAGAGCGCGAGCCAAGGCGAGAGGAGGAGAGCGCTGGCGGCGGTTCGGCGCTCCGCTCCGGTGATACTCCGTGCCGGCTTTTGCGTGCGGCCGGCGGCGCGGGGCCCTTTGGAAATAGAATAGCCAATGTAATCTGACACTTCAACTTGCTCGGCTCCGGGCGAGTTGATTCACTTACTCACCCCCTAACGCCGAGTTCCTTTTCACTGTCTGTGGACATTAAAAAAGCAGGCGGCTGCGGCGGGCGCCCGGGAGAGCTAGCAGCCGGGCGGCGGGCGGGCGGGCGAGCAACGTTCGGCGGCCAGGCGGGCTAGCAGCGCCGGCGCAGCGCGTTGACTCCGGCCCCGGCCGGCACGGAGCGGGGGCCGGGCTGAGCCGAGCCAAGCTGCGCGATCCCGGCGCCTTCGCCGCTCTCCTCCCGGCCCCAGCCGGCCCTCGCCGGCAGCGGCGCGTCCTCCAGCGGCGGCAGCGGTGCTCGCAGCGCCGGGTAAGTTTGGGGACAGAGCTAGGAGCCTGTTAGCCCCGAGGCTTTTTCCGCTCCCCGCGGGTTCTGGGGTGCGAACGTGGGGTGCTGAGCGCTGGGGCTTTTCCTTTCAAGGATCCTTCGGGGTGGGCGGGTGGCCCGTAGCGCTGCTCGCTGCACTCCTCGAGGCGGCCGGGGGCGGAGGCCCGGACTGCATCCTGGCGAGTGCCGGGCTGCGCGGAGCCGGCTCGGGCTGCGCGCGGGAGCCGGGGCTCCGGGCGTGTGGGGCGCGAGTGCGGTAGGCAGTGCGCGCGCGGACCGAGCCCGCCTCCAGCCCTCGCTCGGAACCCCGGGGGCCGGGCCGGACCGGGCTCCGGAGGAGGGAGTAAGGAAGGCCGGGGAAGGACCGCCTCGGACTCCTTCGCCTCCTTTGGGGAAATGTGAAGTTGTGTTCCTGTGTGCGTACTGGAACCTCTGGGGAAGGCGCGGGATTTCGGGGGTGGCGAGAGATGGTGGTGTTAAGTTGTGCCTCTGAATTTCTAGAGAAAACACACACTCTTGTAAATGGGAGGTGGGGGCGCGGTTAAGTTGTTTGTGTGGGAATCGCCCCGGGAAACGAGGCGCGCCTTGCGGAGCCGGGAGCGCCAAGGGGTGTGTGGAGGTGGAGGAGCTTCGAGTGAGGCTTTTGGAAACCCGAGGGGCTTTCGGGCCCACGCCTGATTGGGGCTGCCCCAGCCGGGAGAACCCAGAGGGAAGATGTGCGCGCGTGTGTGTGTGTGTGTGTGTGTGTGTGTGTGTGTGTGTGCGCGTGTGCGCGCCCGCGCGCGGTGCAAATACGAAAGTAATTTCCCCGTGTTCTTTCTTCCTCTGTCTCCGGCGGCGGTGGCCCCCGGGGAGTGGGAGGCTGGCCCCGGGGCGGAGGTTGTGGGGCCAGGCCGGGGCTGGAGCTGGGGTCGTGGATGGGGCGGGCTCTGGAAGCTTGTTTCACATTCCTGGCGTCTGCGTTGGGGAGAAAACAGTGGGGAGCGCGGCCTCGGCTTCTGGGGCGCAGTCAGCGGGCGCGCGTCGCCCCCTCGCCGGGGACATCTGTCCAGGAAGCCGACCGGGCAGAGAGAGGGTGCGGTGCAGAAGGCGGCCTCCCCGCCCCGGGGCGGTGGGGGCGCGGGCGAGGGGCGGCCGCCTTCCCGGCCATTGTGCGCCAGCAGATTTTCACGGGAGACTGCCCCGGAGCCGCCGGAGAAGGCCGGGAGCCGGCCTCAGCCCGGGGTTTAAAAGACACTCCAGGAATGTAAACAACCCGGGCGGGAGGGCGGACGCAAGGGAGCCGGGGCAGCCGGCTGGGCCCCCCACCCCTCCCCGGGGGACAGCCCCGTGGCAAGGCCGCCCTGCCCTACCTCTCTACCTGTCGCAAACTTTTCCCTTCCCGGCCTTCCTGTTCCACCTCGCCCTTCCAGCTGGGCGCAGAGCGAATACATGAGGACCGGGCCCCAGGGCTTCGGGCACCCGGCGCTGATCAGCGAGGCCTGGCGGCCGGGTCCCTGCTTGGGTGCCGGGAGCCGAGGCTGCTCTGCCTGGGAGCCTCAGCTTCCTGGGCAGGCAGTGCCCGAGTAACTGGGGCTCTGAGCCTGCCCGCCTCGCTCTCCCCTCCCTCCCCTCTCCCTCCCGCCGCTGCTTCCCCCGCTCTCCCCCTTCCCCTCTCCCCTGACTGCTTTTCCAATGCCCTGACATGAGGGAGGAAGATTTAACTTGGCAGTCCAAACAAATGTTCTCTCTGAGGTCCTCCAAGAAGCTGGCGGCCGGGCTGGCGGGGTGAGGGCAGCCCTCGGCCAGCCGGTCCCTCTTCTCTGCTCTTCCTGGGTCTTTTGGAGCCCCCTGGACGAACAACCAGGACTCAGGGGAGTGGAGCCCACCTCTGGAGATTTGAAAGGGCAGTGGGCAGCGCGGAAGCCCTGGCGAGGCGCTGCACAGAGCTGGGAGCTGAGCTGCCTCGGTGCCAAGGGTTTTCTGAAGGGTTTCTTGAGCAACAGTTTGCCTCCCTGCTGCAACCTGGGAACCAGGCCTGGTAGACCAGAGGGTTAACTAGTGCAGTCTCCTCCGACGACGACGCTGTGGGTATGAGGACCGGCTGGTTACACAGGGCAGGGCAGGAGGCCAGAAGCTGTTCCAGAGGTGCCTGGGTTTGCTTATTATTGTTTTTGTGAAGGAACAGATAAAGGGGCAAGCGGAGGTGCTGGAGAACCGGGCTGCTTTGCTACTGCTGAATTACAGCTTGCCTCCTCCAGCGTTCGCCTGGGATCAGGAGGGGAAAAGTTGCTTGTGGGCACTCTGAGAAGTTTAGATGAGGGAACAAACCCCTGGCTTTTTCAGTCCCCAAGGCTTTTTGAGGAGGGTCCCAGCTAGGAAGAGTTCCTGGCCCCTTGAGTCCGGGCTGCAGCCTGTGCTCGGAGGGTCTGTGAACACCGGGAGTCGTGCTGACCTTTCCCTCCTCAAGTTGAGGATGTTGAAACACCAGAATGAAACAAAAGACACATTGAAAGCCCTATCTGCCACGGAGCACGTGTGGCTTTGGGGTGGAGGGGACTCTCAGAGAGAGAGAGAGAGAGAGAGAGAGAGAGAGAGAGAGAGAGAGAGAGAGAGAGCTGGTGTTTTCTTCCAAGTTTTATGATTTCGGTTGGGTCCCCCCCGCCCCGCCCCGTAGCACAGAGGCATCTCCTTGTCCAGAGGAGTCAGGAGGTTATGAAGTGCTGTTCTCACATGTAAGTCTCAAAAGCTGACACTCAGGTGGGCTTGTTGGTGGCAGTGGCTGCAGGGAGGAGGTAGAGAGGCTCTAGGGTTCGGGCTGGGGTTTTGAGGCTCACGGAGTGGAGAGAAATGGCTGGACCTGTGAATAAACAGCCCTGTCTATGCAGAAAAGAGTTGCTGGCTTCTTCATGGGAGACAAAATGTCCCTTTTCCCTCCTAAGGAAAGGGGGAAGACCCAGGAGAAAAGTGAAGAAAGGCCTAGGAATGAGGTTTTGGCTTCTGATCAAACACACACACACACACACACACACACACACACACTTTCCTAGCTGCAACAGGAACACTGCATTTTCTCCATCCCTGGCCCCCGTAGAGATGACCCAGCACAAGGACAGGTGTCCATGAGTTGACTCATGCTAGAAAACTGCAGGTAGAAGGACCCAGCTGAGAAGCCTGCAAACTTCACTTTTCCCCTCGATTGCCTGGGTGGATAAGGAAGGCAGACACTGGGCCACCAGGAGACCTTCCTAGGAACCCACGGATACTGAGTTTTCTGGTCTTGGCCAGCGCCCAGTGATTGTCTGTGACCCAGTCTCAGGGTAAGATGTTGCTGTAAAACATTCGGGCACCAACAAGTTAATTTTGGGAAGCTCTCGTCATGGAACCAGGAAGTAAGGGCTGCTAGGTGGAGCCAGGTCCTTGCAGTTTCATTCATAACTCTGCTCCCGTGGGCCCTGGCCTGGCTCCTATCGCCACTGCATCTCTATGAGGTTCCTGGGTTTTGTGTCGACAACAAAGGCCAGGCTGCCGAAATTACCCGGGATGCTGCTGCAGCCTTGCCTGGTAACTGCCCTGACCTCTCTGCAGGACACAGTGGCCTCTGCCTGCGCCCTCTGAAGGGGGGGGGGCTACTCTTTGTCCTCAAGAGCCCAGAGGCCAGAGAGAGCAGCCTGCTTGGTCTCTAAGCTCCAGCAGGGAGACTGGGGCAGGGCTCTGCCCTCAAGGATGGAAGGAGACAGAACACCAAGGCCACCAGACCCGGAAACAGGCCCTAGGCCAGTCACCAACTCATCCTGTGATAACCAGATCTTCCCTTTATGGAGATGGTGGGGAAGAAAAGGTGGCAGGAGGCTGAAGCTTGCCGGCTGCCATGGGCCAGCCAGTTTACTCTGTTCGACCTCAGTTTTCTGATCTGTAGAATGGGTTCAAGGGTGGAATGCTCACCATCCCATTTAGCTGCTGGGCAGATGAAGCAGATTGGACATGGGCCCCCTGAAGGCTTAGCAGGCTCTGGTGCAGAGTGGATAGAGCACAAAGGGGCTGGATTAGGGATGCTAGAAGCATGTTCTAAAAGTGGCCTGCCTATCTGTGTTGATCTCCCTGGCTATCCAGCATGGTCGGCTTGCATGCCCCCTGTGAGGGTGCTCGCTGCTTCTGTGCTGCCTTCAGTGCACAGTTGTGAGTGTTAGCACGCTTTGCCATTTGGAAAGCCAGACCTTCTGGCCCTCAGTCTGGACTTGAGGTTGGGGGGGGGGCTTTCGGACCACAGACTCATTATTTTCTGAATGATCATGCGTTCATGACTAGTGTCTACACTGACATGGGGAAGGGGACACTTCCAAACGGCTGCTTCCGGGCCTTATTGGGAAGAGTGAGGGTCTCCCTGAGGGTTTCACTGTCATCTGCCTTTGGGTGGCAGGTCTGCTTCTTGTTGCTTCCTTTGAAGCTGGAATGACAGGTCTGGGGCCCCATAGTTCCTATTCCTTAGGAGCTGACATCTAGCAAGGGCAAGATCAGCCCAAATAAATAATTCACCACCAGCTGGCCGCCTGCCAGGGGCATGTGAGGACAGGAATAAGCAGAGCCCCTCTCCCTGGTGGCACTCGGTGGCTGTAGATGTATTTTTCATATTTGTTTAGCCTTGATAACAACAGTGTGAGCTCGCCACTGCTTGGAATTACCCCATTGAACAGAGAAGAAAACGGAGTTTCAGAGAGGTCAAAAGGCTTGAGGCAAAGCCAGGACTCAATTCCTGCCATGGTCTGCCAAGCAAGAACCCCACCTAAGCTGGGGCTCAAGTGCAGAAGCCAGTGTTGACCCCAGGAATAGGAGCCCGGGGACAGGAGGCTAAGGAGGTGCTGTTCTCGGGAAAGGTTGCAGGTGGGCCATACCCATCCACCCCGCCCTCATCAGGCAGCTTGGTGTCCCTTTGCTTGAGGCACAGTGTCTTCCAGCTGGAGCTTGCTTGGAGCCTCACATGCTCCCCTGCCTGCCCCAGGCAC